CACCCACAGAACACATTATATCTGAAAACAAATCAATAATAAATGCCGCGAATTTAATATATTAAATTCAAATTATGTGACAAATCTTGTGACATAACTTAAAATTTTTCCTTGTGGTTAACGAATAATTAAAACAATAAAAAAAAATATTTAAAGTAATCATATATAATATTTTAACTCATCTGAAAATATATGAAATGTTATGATTTAAATTTTTTTAAAATTTTTTTTTATTTTTTATCCGGATTCCGGGTCAATCAGACCATTTTTTATCCGGATATTTATCCGGGTAAAAACCGTAATTATCCGGATACCTAAAAAAAAAAATTATCCGGGTTTATCCGGTTGAACCCGGCAACGGATCGAAACACTAGTCTTGACATATTTCCAACAACTTTATAATAAGAATCGGAATTGATTCTACAAATGAAATTGATTTGTCTATAAAGTATTTTAGCAATTTAAGAATGGGCAAAGGGCAATCGTAAATAATATTTTAAAAAAAAAATTTTATTCTTCCATCATCAATTAAATTAACGATTTATTTAATCATAAACTGAAATCTTAGCAAATATAATAATACTATTATCTATTAATGGTTTTTAATTACCTCAGGAAATTTTTTCCACTTAAAATTGGAAATCCACATCGATATTGTGGAAATCCGAATAGTTCTGTGACAAAAACACGTGGTATTTTCGGCGTAGATCCACAAGCGTAGGATACATGGGATTGGAATTCAATATATTTTTGAACTAATCCATGTGGAATTATTTCATGATGTAGATTAAATATTTTTGAAAAATCGTAATAAAGAATCTCTAGCGGTCTGCTGGTTAACCGTGTTCAAACGGAAATGTAACCAGGGGTTCAAACTCGAGATCACGTATCAAACATGTGTTACTAAGAACAACAGGAAAACCAGGTGCATACATTTGTAACCTATCTATTAATTCCCAACTTAAAGAAGTTCGCTGATCATTTTTAATAATTTTACGCAGGGGCGTTACAACACACCCTAGTAAATTTGCCGATCAATTATTATCACGTGATATTGGGTGTACCATCAACCAAATTAAAATGGGTATATAGCAAACATGTATTGTATGGTTAGCTTTGTATGTATTGTATTATTAAAACTTTTTAATGTATGTAATGTATGGTCTTTTTCAATTATGAATGTATTGTATGATAAATGTGGTAATTTCATGTATTTTATTACCAAATATAACTATTTCACATTTTTCATTATGATTGTGTACTGGCTAAAACAATTCAACATGTATTATTATAATCTTTTTTTTCTTTTTATTTAAAAATAAATATTTCTACCATGTTTATTACTTTTCATTTAAAAAAATTTAAAATAAATATTTCTATCGCGTTTTTATTACTACAATCTCTTTCTTTTCATTTAAAATATTTCTATTACGTTTATTATTATGTCTAAAGTAAATTCTATTATTCTTTCAGATATTGAGACTATATCTGATGATGAAACTATATCTGAAAATGAAATTTAATTCCTTGAGTCATCATCTATGAATATTGTAAATATTTGCATTATCTCTAGCAATACATTAAGAAATATTTATTTATAATAAAAAATAATTTTTTTTTTTTGTAAATACTAATCTTTATGTATGGCGAAAATAAGTATGCCATACATAGCAAACGTTCATTTTAATATCCATACATGTATGGACACAATCAAAAATACATAAGCATACAATACATACAACGTTAAGCATACACTACATGTTTTATAATCACCTAATTAAAATCAGTATTTTATAGTTTAATTTATGCCAATTATGAATTGAATACCGGATATTTTAGATTCATTCTGATTTTTTAACTTTATTTTCTGATATTAATAAATTACATCTCGGAAAGTAATTTATCTGCGCACACTTTGAAAATAGAAGCATAAAACTTTCCGAAATTTAAAAATTCGACAAACCATGCATTATTAGCCTTTGTGCAATAATGAAAGATTAGACAAATACATGAAAACCCAAAGAACAACGTAATACCTCGCTTTTTTGAAAATACTAAAGAAAAACATTTTTTTCTTATTGAGAAGTATCTAAACTAGGAAAACGGAAACCGTTAAAGTCCGTCGCGCTTATTTACTCGGTATCTTTTTTTATTAAAAAAAATTGTAAACGAAAAATAGCATAATATAACACCAAATAAAATAAGCAGTGTTACAAATCATCAGTGAAACAAGTAAAAAGTGATACATAATCAAGAAAGGAAACAGCGGGGGTGCGTTGCTTCGCACCTGCGTATAAATTTTAAACTCATTTATAATTATTTAATTTAGTATTGAAAATACGTTGATAGCACTAATAGGTTATCTTGATATTATCGCACGGCCCTATAGGATCTATTTGACCGATATTTTCATTATTAATATTAGTTTATTTATAGTTTATTTGAGCATGATCTACATTAACTGGTATTTATTTCATCTCATAAAATGATGTATTACAATTTATATTGTATACTGTATATTGCATAAAGAGTAACTAAGCCACTTCAATAAAAATGTTTATATTCAAATATAAACCCAATTTATTTATTTGTTACAAGATATTAAAACAAATAAACAACATAAACATAAAAAAAAAAGATTTACAACGAAATGACACGAAGATAAGCCTGTAGATTATTATTCCTTATTAAATTATATATTCTTAATGAAAAGTTTAACATATAATTAGTAATAAACCGAAAAAAAAACGACCCTCCTTTTAAATAAACTAAAATTGCGTTTAGAATGAAAAAAAAAATATAGCTATATTATTATATCGAAAATAAAAAAGTAAATTTTCTCCCAGGATCGACTATCCGCGGATATGCGACAACCATAACGGATTTGACGTCAAATGATATATCATTTTCGTATAAAACGTAAGTACGAATATTTATGAAGAAAAACTATCGATATATAACTATCGATATATAATAAACGGCATTACCGAAAGATATCTTTTCATATAATTTAAAAAGTTTAAAAACGCGTCATATATAAACGCGTTAAAAAAAAAAGGTAAAATTTTTTTAAATCAAATTATACATAATGTAAACCAAATATTTGTGAATATTAATAATACGAAGATTTTTAGAAAGGAGCCCCGTTGAATAGTTGGTTTACGAACGGATTAATTGAATTTATTTGAGGAAGATTTGAAATCCTTCTGAGCGTGTCATCATTCGATGAGCGTCTATAATAATTTATAATTCTCCTTCTTAATCTCCGTCCCCTTTGACTTTGGAATTGATTTGATCGAACCATTTTTTACAAATAATGTAAAATTTTGAAAAAATAAAAGCGATTTTTGGAGACCTTTTATACATTTTTTTTTACCTTGTTTAACGTTTGATGGCTCATTTTTATGAAAAGTGTCATCCCTTATTATTAAATTTAATAATTGGAGGAATGACATTTACTTGCATTACAACTCTTCTTACACCACGCATCAGGGAATGTTTACTAAAAAGGAAGTTCGACAAATTCTTTGCACTTTTTAATTAATTAATTCATTCCTTTTTTTAACTATCTTTAGCACAGATCTCCTACAATTTAATTATGCTTAAAAAACCTATTTGTAAGATCAACAGATTTGTCGAGAATTTCTTTAGAAAAATTGTGCAGTGTGAATGGTATAACAATGTTCAATGTCATCATAAAAAAATGATTAGCAACATACAGTAACTAAACTAGGTACAATTTCCCAATCTCATGTATAATTTAGATATGTAAGATATGGCCATATGCTTTTCAAACATACCTTTTCTTAAATTATTACATTCTTGATTTATGTATAGCGTTAAATTCGTGAAATGATTAAAGTTTCATAAATATTAGAAAGATCGTGTTACCCATACGTGTATGTATTTTTTTCCTATTTTGGAGCGATTGACCTAGCATATTCCGCAGTTTATTTATTTATAACTAAAACCCTAGACCCTTGCAGTTTATTTGGCCGAAAAAAGGTTTTTTATTCTCCTATTTTGGAAATCATGGTTGTACCCCTGAGTTTTAAAATCAAATGTATATGATCTTAGCTTGATACTTCAATATTGCACTTAAAGTAAATGGAATTTAATTTTTTTATTACTACACTTTTTATTTTTTTAATATTTTTGCATCAATCTGATAAAAAAGCTTGAATAAAATCTTATTTTATTATTAAATAAATTACATACATCAATATAATTCCTTTTTTAAAAAGTTTATATAGCAATCTTATATAAGTGTTTTTTTTTACATTTATTTATGATGTGATTATATGTAAAAAGGTATAACTATGTAGGAATCTGGTTGTATTTTACATTGCTGTATTTCTTGGTATTGAACGCCATAAAAAAAATTACTAAGCAATAATTATAAAATGAAACAAAAGTGATTCTATATAAACAATATTGTAGACAAAAGAAACATGATGGGTGCACGACTATTCCACATGGCCACTCCATCATGACCATGTCATTATGTAAAATGGAATCAACGAATGGGTAACTGTTAAATAAATTGCTATTTTGATATTGGTGTAAAGCAAGATGAATAAGAATTTTAAATTTGATTTAATGGAAAGTCAATCCATTGAAAAAAAGTTGGAGAATGAATGAATCATTTATATTTTACTGAGAAAGATTTGGCTGAGGAAGGTTTGTAACGTGGCGTCACTATTAATTCACGCCTTCGATTTCGTTGTTTTTGAATTCTTTGACGTCTTCGATTGTAGCGATCCATTTTCGTTTTACAAACAATATAATATTTATTTATTTTTACAAAAAAAAAATCCAGGATGAATGAAGCTTATTTATATTTTTTTTATTGGTCATTCAAATAATTTACTTTCTGTAATGAATGTTTTTAGAAAAATTATGTAGAGAATACATTATCAGTGATCTGCATTTATAGCAATGAGTAAGTGATTAGTGCTTCGATCCGGATTGATCCGTTGACTAGCATCACAACATTTTTCTATTATTTTTGTCAAACTATAATTTTGTCAGATTCAAAAAAAAATATTTTTCTACAAATTTTATTAATTTTGACCAAACTTATAGCTCACTTATAGCTCCGACTCAAATAAACCGATGCCAAACCGTAGTAAACCGCGGACTAGCTGTCAAACATCTCTTATTTTTTATGAATTTAAGAAAACAAATAAGTTTAATTTCTTTGATTATCATTATTTGATTTTTCTGTATAATATTTGTCTTGAAAGTAAGATTTCTTGGATTCCGATATTCGGAGAATGTCACGATTAATTAATTAATGATGCTCATCCTGGTTATTAATAATCGGGTCTGGTTCATTTCACCGACAATCACTTCACCGACAAACGTTTCACCGACAAACGTTTCACCGACAGGGTTATTTCACCGACATATTGAGTATGAGATATTTTATTATAAAACTTTTTTTTAGATATTTAGTTTAGATTTAATAAGTATTGATACTTTACTTCCATCTTAGACGGGTTAGTAGATAGAATAACATATAGTTATATCTATTGTATTTTTTTTTATTTTTTTTATATATGTTATTATAAATTTCATTAAAATAATAAAAACTAACAAAAAAATATATAACTATTGTAAAAAGTATGTGCTATTCCCTAAGGAAATCTATAGTAGTAGTTTTTTTGTATTTTATAAAACCTAACAAAGAAATACGTGTTACTAACAAAAAAAAAATCCCCATTTCATATAAAGATTATGTAAAGATATTTATATTTAATTTTATATATATGTCGGTGAAACGTTTGTCGGTGAAGTAGTTGTCGGTGAGTTACGTAAACGCGACCCATATTTTATTCCCCCAAAATTAGGCGACGCAAAGTTATAAATTCGGTTTTCATATCACAATTTGCCGGCCGCCCGGATTTTTACTTTTTTTAAAAATTCAAAATTTTTTAACCAATTTTAACCAATAAAATTTAGCGATCCGATCCATAATTTTCATAAAAGTTTTAGGTTAAATCACTTAAATGATAAATGATATCATAATTATTAAATTTTTGGCATAGGAAATCAATTGTAAAATATTTAATAAAATAAATAAATAAAATTGCTATTCTTTTTTTTTTCATTTATCAAGAATGAGAAATTTTCTTTGATTTCTGTAATACATGCGGTTATCACCTATTTTTAATATACGAAAAAAAAATAAAATTTTGAATTTGTGATTTACCGACCCGGCGTCGCCTTAGTTTAAAGTATTATCACAAATTTATTAATTATTGTATCCGTAATTGTTCAAGTAATAACAAAGTACAATTCCCTTCATATGAATAATTGTAGAAAAAGAAATGGCAAAATTTCTTTTGATAACCTAGTCGGGAAAAAGTGCTCTCAGCCAGCCAATGCAATCCTATGCGCCATGTTCTAAACCAAACTAGGTTAGGAAAATTAATCTATTTATGGACAGTTTGTGCTATAATGGAAGGTTAGTACAACATTACGCAAGATTAATTATAATTAGTTCGTGTTACTTTAACTTTAAATAAAATAGCAATGAATTTTTTTTTTTGAAAAAAAAAAAAAAAATATTTGTATACAGTATATATTGTATATACATACATATACACATATATTACTATTATCAAATCAGTCAAATGAGTGAAATTTTCGTAAAAATCGATGATAAGTTTAGTAAACCACATAACGGTAAACTTATAACAAAGATAGAGGTATCGCCAAATGAAAAATACTTTGTGACTTATAGTGAAGAAGATCACTCAATTGTCGGCTGGAATATCGATGATATAAATGAGGGACAACTTAAATCAGATTGTCATATCAGAATTCCTAATGATAATATACGACAAATATACATTTCTGATGATAAGAAACTTGCTTATATAGAATTTGGACATTTAGGTAATTAATAATATTTATATTAGTAACCCTTATAAAATATTCGATTAATATTTTTTTTTTTATTTAACTAATTCAATTAGAAATATACGATATGATGAATAACCATAAAATAAAAATAGATTGTGATATTGGTGAATATTATAGTTATTGTACATTCAATTTGAAATCTGAACTTATTTTATATAGTGGAAACGATGATTATAATTTGGTTTTAGTTTATTCCACACAAACTAAAAATAATGAATGGAAATGTCAAAGAATCCACAAGATGCCTAAGGATTTTGATTTGATTAGCATATCAAAATACGATAAAATTTATTTGTTTTCAAATAATTCTATTTTTGAATGGAATCTTATTAATGAAAAAGGAATAAAAATATTTGGTACTGATGAGGAAATGAAATATTATACGGTAAAAAATATATTAATTTATTCGTTCAAATTCATTTAAAAATTTTATAATTACTAATCATTATTCGTCTATTTTATAATTCAAGCCTGAACTTAGAATTTCCAGTAATGAAAAGTTTATTTGTACAAGAATCAAGGATAAAGTTTTTATTTATTCTGTTGAATTAGAAATACCTATTGTTTCTTTAAATATAAATAATGGTAAATAATTTTATAAATTTATTAAGCTTTTTATTTTTTATTATTATTATTTTATATTAATCTTTTAATTCTTTTCTTACGTTAGATATACAATTATATGACATTATATATCGTACTGGTTTAATTCATTTATTACTTCCTTTATTGCTTCCTCTATTAAGTAATAGTAAAATTCGGAATTCTATTATGGAACATTGTTGGAAAGAATGTTTAAATCGTTTAAATAAGAATGACCAAGAATTTCAAATCGAAAATTTACTAAAAAACATTCAATTCACAACCAAATATGCACTTATAATTCTAGATGGGTATATTTGGAAGATTAAACTAGAAGAAAATGCTTCTAATATGAATTTTATATTCGAAAATTCTGAAGATGATGATTCTAATGAATATTGGTATTTTGATAATGAATCATATGAAACATATGAAAACTTAAATATTCATTTATTTAATCCCTATATGGATAATATACATGCATTATTTCAAAAAGTTATATCAAATTTTATTATGAAACGAGAACTGACTTTAATTCAAGGTTTAATTAAATGGGAAATTAACAATATTAATGATAGTGGAATTGAATTGCAAATTTTTAGTTATGTTGATTTTAATAAATGGGATTTAATTTGCAAACGTGTTGAAAATTTTAGTATTTTTGTAAATATCTTTTTACTTGGAATTGAATTATTTGATAATGATGATATTGTTCTAATAACAACAATTGGTCTTTTTATTTATCATCTTAACAAAAATAACAAATCCATTACTTTAAGATATTTTTATCATATGAAATCATATTATATGAGAGATTTATTACATTATTATAGAAAAATATTTTCAAAATCTATTTTACCTTTATCAAATTGTAGTAGTTTTGAAATAAGTGATGGTTGGGTTTTGGATGTAAAAAATAATAAGGAAAGTCTTTTGAAATATGGTGTTGAGTTATTATCATTTGCAATTAAAGATCAAAGGTTGAAATTAATTGATGATATCTATAAAAAATGTATCAATTATTTTGAACAAGATTTAAGAAATAATAGAATGTTTTTAAGTATTATTACTTCTACAATGCCTTTATTGAATGAATATTTTCCGGATTATGTTTCAAGATATTCATTAGAAATATTAATGATTACAGATTATCATTTTTATGATATAAAATATCAACATAGCAAATTACATCTTGATTCTTTTCAATATCCTCAAATACTTAATTTAACTAATTCTATTTTATGGTTAAAATACAATATGTGGATTGGTAAATTATCTGAAACTCATCTGATACTATTCATTGTTATTCAACTTTTAAGTTTATTTATAATTTTAATCTTTTTACCAATTTATTTTGTTATGTTTTATATATTATCAAAATACCTTTATATTAATGATTTTTATACAAATGGTGCATTATCTCTTTATTTTGAAATTATTAAATTATTTTCAAAACGTAAAACAACACCAGTAATTACTTTCATGATTCCTTATATTAATTTTGTGAATTATCCAAAAGATTATAATTGGTTTTGGGAACTAATTTCACCTCAACCTAGTCCATTTGTTAACACAATAAGTAATGATATCTATAAAACATTGGATGGTGAAGCATTAATTAATTTTAAATGGAACATGTATGGAAAAATTTATCACTCAATAATTTGGATTGGATTTATGGCTTTACTTGGATGCTTTAATGCAGCTGCTAAAATTCCTAAACAATATATTGGTGATGATGTTCTAAATCATCTTTTAATTGCTTCAATTATACTTGGATTTATTCATTTAAGTTTTGAAGTTCGTCAATTGATTTATAAACCTGAAAGGTGGATGAAGGATATTGGGAACTGGTTTGGTATATAAAAATTTTTTTTTTAATCAATTTAGAATAAATTATTTTATTAAGCAAAAAATACTAATATATTACTTATAATTATAGATGCATGTGTATATATATTTCCCATTTATACTTCAATAATGTGGCTTCAAACAAATGATAATGATCAGATAATCCCATTTATTACTTTTTCATGCTTGTTTTTAAATTTAAAATTAATATCATTTTTTAGAATATTTGAAATTTATGATGAATATTATACAATTGTTATTAGAATTGCAAAAAGGGTCATGTTTTTCTTTTTATGTTTTATAATAGTTATTTTGACAAGTTTCGCGTACGCATTTTATATTTTATTATCACCAAAAATGGATTATCCTTTAAATGAACGTATAGTTAATGATGACCCTAATAATCCTTGGAATTTGGCATCTACCTATCAAGTATTTGAAAATGTAACCAGCCTTTATTCCAATTTATTTATTTTACAAACTCCTGATGAGAACACAAACATGTTTACGACCTTTTTGACTTCATTATTCGCAACATGTTTATTACTTACAGGTATATTATTACTTATTTTGAAAAAAAAATAATTAAAAATATTAATAATTAATTATTTAATTAACTTTTTTTTTTTATCTTATAGGTGATACAAGTTCGTTATCCAATTGGCCATATGAAAAAAATCCATCACTTATGATATTAATGATTTTGTTCACATTTATAATGACCATATATATTTTAAATGTATTTATCACACTATTTGGTGAAGCGATAAAAGATGGTGATTCATATTTATTAAGGAAAGCGGAGGTAATATTATTATGTTATAATTGTTATTTTTTAATTAAATCTTTACATTATATATTATATACTAATTATTTAAAATTTTCAAAACTTATTTTAGCATTTAGCTAAAATTGAATTATTTTACCTATTACCGAATCAGAGACGTTGGAAATCATGGTTCCCTGAAATAATGTATGTTACATTTTTAATATTCATTTGATAATTTTTTTTTTTTATTTTTATTAATAAAGATTCATTATTTTTTTTAAGTCATTATTATGCCAGTGTGGATAAGGCTCGAAAAGAAATTAAACAAATGATTGAAAAGAAAGAATGGAATAACAATGTATTACCAGAACTCAAACGAGATTTGTTAAACAAACTTCATATCGATGAAAATTAGACAATTTTGGGAATTATATAGGTTTTAAATCATTTAGGAATGATTTTATTTTTTCCTTACTTATTTAATTTTTAACTAGAATTATAGAGTATGTATTCTTAGTATAAAGTTTGATCGGTTTTTAATTAATTTATATAGTAAAAGTTTTATTTAAATATTTTAAAAAATGTATTTTAAGGTTACTATTTATATCATAGAGTACACCTTGTATTAAGAAACCAATAAAAACAATTGACGCGTTGATAGAACCTTTTAATATTCTATATAAATGAAAGTAACGATAATGTTCAAGTCTATTTGTAAAAGTTTTGTGCGCAACCTTGAGCCATAGATATGCGCTCTTATATATAAAATATAATAATATTAAGTGCCATTATGAAATATCGCGCCTATCTACTTTCAATCACACGCGCGGAAATTTAAAGCGATGTATGCTGCGTCAACTGCGCGAATCCAATTCATCACAGTAGAATATATTATATAAATTTGAGTATTGTTGTACCCAAAGTTTTAATGAATAGACTAATTAAGATTTAGTAAAATAAACCGCCCGAAGATGAGACGTCTACTGATTAAAGCGATTAAAGAAAGAAAGAAAGAAAATTAAACTAAAGAAATTCGATCTTACCAGGGCTACACGGCTACACGCCCAGTGTAGGTTTCAAATTATATCATGTTAAATCACCTGATACTGTACGTGATGTACTGTAACTTGGAGATTAAATTTTGTATATATAAATAAATTTTCATAAAAATTTTACAAATATTTATATTCAGATTATACGAGAATAAATTGTAAAACTGACTCCAAAAAAGAGGCTTAGTATTTTGCGGAGATCTCAGTATCATCCGAAAAAATTCTGCAATCAGAGACGTCCCCAGTATTGTCACTTTTCTACCCCACGTTATTTGTGCCACATCAGCCTCATTGATTTATTTATTTATTGTAACTTTCAGCAAACATGGCATAGCGCCTTTATCTTTATTAAATTTATTAAAAACATTTACAATTAAACAAATTACAATAAAAGAAATAATAAAAAATAAACTAACTACTATATAGTCTCCTAAAGAGTGATTAAAGTAAAAATAAAAATCTAAACTAAATAATTAAACACTCCCTAGATCATCCCCCGTGATATATTTCAAGCACAGTAGATGCAACTATGCTAATCAGACAACGAAAAGTGCATCCATTTTAAAATCGATACCCAGTTCTGCTATAGCACCGTTAGACGACCCAGAAAACCCGAAAAGTGATCAAACCAAGTTCTTAATCCAATCCTTGTCTGCGTCACGTGACAGCTCGATTTGGGTTGGAGGTGGTAAAGTAGAGACAGGCAAATACGTAGACTTAGGCAAATTAGAAGGCCTTGGTTGAGTTTTAAGAGTGGTAGAAATGATAACGGAACGTTCCCAGCGACTTTTTTCATAGTTACGGGCGTCTCAAACGCGTCTGCGCAGCTTGTGAATAAAGTTATTATGTATAGCAGAGATAACTTTGCATATAGAGGAGCGCGGCACTGCCAGGTCGGAAAATATATCGGAAAATTGTGCAGGAATAAAGCCTCGCACAAGACATGAGCAGACCAACTTGCGGAAGAAAGGTCCAACAGGGCATTTGCGATAAAACGCGTAAGATGCGGAGCAGGATCCACTTTATTATCACGGGCTGCATCTATAATTTTTTGGGAAAGATGATTCTGATATGAGGAAAGAATTTTATTGTAACTTTCGAAACTCTCCCTAATTTATGTTTTACGTAAAAATTAATGTTAGATAGAACCTTCATACCCTCGAAATGCACGCATAGTAAACTGCTAGAATTATTGTGATATAACTGTATAACTGCGTATGAAAATTTCAAGCTGAAAACATCGAGTTTAAATAATTATTCAATAAAATTTATTGTTGGTTTATTTTTAATTACTATATTAACTGTTTTTATTTTTGTTTGCCTTCTTTATATAAATATTAGAGCGTAATTTAAGACTAAATAAAATTGCTTAACAAGTATAGCATTATTCAAATAATTGTTTTTATTGAATTAGCTTACATATTTGTGGTATATTTTGTAACAATATTAAGTGCATTATACATATACACGTTTATTTAGGTATTATTTATTGTACTTGTTTTATTATATCTATTAGGAGAGACGCGGTTTTATATTTATTTGGGTGTGATTTTATTTGTGCTGTTTGCTGTTTATTGTACTTATTTTATTAGGAGTTATATTTATTTAGATGTTATTTATTAAACTTATTTTATTAGGAGATACGTGTTTTATGTAAAATCGAACTTAAAAACGAACTTATCAATTTTTTGTCGAGAAGCGAAGAAAGCAATTAAGCAAATGAGGCTGATGCGCCGCAAAATCACGTGGGGTAGAAATAAATACAGTAGTAAAAGAAAACAGGCTGAAATTACTTTTTTATTTACTGTACGACTCGAGTGACTCGACTTTTAATACCCTAGCCGCCTAGGCGCCCGCTAACCAATAATGTGTAGATCCTTCCTTTTTTGGATAAGAGTGAAAGAGCTAGCTCATAAGGTTTATTATACATTTAATCGTGTGAACGTAGATGGCGTCGTATCATCGAATTACAAAAAAAAAAAAAGTTGTACTAACTCCTAAGTCCTACCTCGTATTACTTTATTATACATTAAATATTTCCCCTGCATAAATAAATATATATATATCTTGCAAGGTTGCAACGCTCGTTTTTTTGCACAAAATAACAAACCATTTTAAAACAATTAAATTAATAAAGGAAAAAAGAACTATCAGATGAGCGACGCTACGGTAGAAATCGAAATTGATAAAATCAATATTAATAAAATTGATATCAATAACAATGGAATTGACATTAATAACGATAGAATCGATAACAATATAAATAACAATATAATTAATAATAAGCCGCATAATGGGAAACCTATTACAGAGATAGAGACATCACCAAATGGAAAATACCTCGTTACTTATAGTGAAGATGATCATTCAATCGTTGGTTGGGATGTAGACAAGAATCAATTTAAATTGGAATTTTCTATCAAAATTTCTGATCAAGTAGGACACATACGTATTTCCGATGATAAGAGACTTGCTTATATATATGCCACCAAAAAATTAGGTGAAAGTGGTAAAATAAGTAAGTAATAATGCTATTAATTACTCTTATGAATTTATGTAAACTAAAGCATTGATATTTAATTACATTAATTATCATTTATTCAATTATATTTTATTAGAAATATACGACATGAATAACGATCAACAAATCAAATTAGATTGTGACTTTGGTGATTATTATAGTTATTGTACCTTTAACTTGAAGAATGAGCTTATTTTATATAATAATTTTAACAGAGATTATGTTATGCGAAAAATTATCTTGATATATTCCACAAGAACTAAAAATAACAAATGGAAGTGTAAAAAATTATGCGAGATACCAGAGGATATTGAATTTATTAGCATATCAAAATATGATAAACTTTATTTATTTTCAAATAATTCCATTTATGAATGGGATCTTTTTACTGAAAAAAGTATAAAAATATTTGGTAATGATGAGGAGATGAAATATAGCTATTATTATAATACGGTAATATAAATTTTATCAAATTATTCCAAATCTATTTGAAAATATTTTGTACCTAACTTTTATTTGCATAAGTCTGATATTAGAATTTCCGGTAATGAGAAATTTATTTGTATGAGGATCGAGAATAAAATTACTATTTATTCGAACGAACTAGAATTCTCTACTACTTCTGTGAACGGTATTGTTATTTTTTTTTAAGTTAAAAAATTATATATACTGTACAATATTAACATTTCTTTATACTATTTAGTTATTCAGTTACGTACGCTTATTATACATCCAGTGTTATGTCCTCTATTATTTCATCTATTATTTCCTTTATTCAGTAATATACCAAATAATGAATTTTGGGATTCAATCATGAAAGATTGTAGAGAATTATGTTTTGGTCATTTAAAACAACATGAATCACCAAAAGAATTTCTTCCAAATAACATTCAATCTGCAAGCAATTGCGCATTTGGAATTCTAGATGGAGATGTTTTGAAGATTAATTTGGAAAAAATGATATCAAATATAAATTCATTATTCAAATATTATGATGAATTAAATAATAATAATAATTCCGATGAAATTATTGATAATTGGTATGAATACTATAATAATAATTATTTTAACTATTTTAGAGTCAAGTATGAAATATACGAGCACTTAAATATTCATTTATTTAATCCCTATATGGATAATATACATACATTATTTAAAAAAGTCTTATCAGATTTTGAAGAAAAACGAAAATTGATTTTAATTCAAAATTTAATTAAATGGGAAATTAACAATATTAATTATAAAGAAATTGAATTATCAGTTTTTATAAAAATTAATGTTAGTAGTGAATGGGATTTAATTTGCACAAGGGTTGAAAATTTTAATATTCGTGAAAATATCTTTTTGCATGGAGTCAAGTTATTAAATTTTGATGATATCGTTTTAATAACAACAATAGGCGTATTTATTTATCATTTTAGTGAAAATAACAAATCCATTTCTTTAAGATATTTTTATTATATGGAGTCATACTATAGGAAAGATTTATTACGTTATTATGAAAAAATATTTTCAAAACATACTTTACCTTTACCTAATTATGATAGTTTTAAAATAAGTGATGAATGGGTTTCATACGTAAAAGATAATAAGGAAGTTCTTTTAACATATGGTGTTGAATTATTAACATTTGCAATTAAAGAATATAAATTAGAATTAGTAGATGATATCTATAAAAAATGTATAATTCGCTTCAAAGAAGATTTAAGGAATAATAGGATGTTTTTGAGTATTATTACTTCTACAATGCCATTATTGTATGAATATTGTCCAGAATATGTTTTAAGATATTCATTAGAAACAATAATGATTATAGATTCTCCTTTTTATAATATAGAACCTCAGAATAATAATCTACATCTACATTCCTTTTTTCGATATCCTCAAATAATTAATTTAACTAGATCTATTTTGTGGTTAAAATATAATATAAAAATGGACAAATTAAAAAGAAATCATAATATATTATTTCAAATGCTATTTTTTATTCAAATTTTAGTAATTTTACTCCTTTTTCCAATTTATTTTGCTACATTTTATATATTATCAAAATATCATTTTGTTAATAATATTTATGCCAGTGATGCATTTTCTATTTATTTAAAAGTAGTTGACATTCTTTCAAAAAATATACCAAGAAATAGAAAAACACCATCAATTACTTTTATGATCCCTTATGTTAAATTTGTTAATTACCCGCGAAATTATAATTGGTTTTGGGAATTAATTAAACCTCAACCTAGTCCATTTGTTAAAACAATAAGTGGAGATATCTATAAAACATGGGAAGGAGAAGCATTAATTAATTTTAAATGGAATACTTATGGAAAATATTATCATTTATTAATTTGGCTTGGATTTATAACTTTACTTGTATGTTTTAATGCAGCTGCTAAAATTCCTCAGAGTGAATATATAGAGATTCGAAAAAAACTTTTGATTACTTCAATTATACTCGGATTTTATTATCTGAATTTTGAAGTTCGTCAATTTATTTATGATCCTATTAAATGGTTTCGTGATATTGGAAATATACTCGGTAAGTAATTTATATTATCTTAGAGAGAATTTTAATAAAGGAAATTACTAACTAATTGTACTATTTATATAATTATAGACTTATTTGTATACTTATTACCTATTACCACTTCAATTTGGTGGCTTCAAATAAGTGATGATGATCAGCTAATTCCATACGTTACTTTTTCATGTCTGATTTTAAACCTAAAATTAATATCATTTTTTAGAATATTTGAAATTTATGATTTATATTACACAATTGTCATTAGAATTGCAAAACGGGTCATGTTTTTCTTCATATGCTTTATAATGGTTATTTTAACTAGTTTTGCATATGCATTTCATATTTTATTATCACCAAAAATGAGTTATCCTTTAGATAAACGTATAGTTAATGGTGATCCTAATAATCCTTGGAACTTGGCAGCCGCTTACCAAGTATTTGAAAATGAGGACAGCTCTAGTTCTAATTTATTTATTTTACAAAAACCTGATGAGAACACAAATATGTTTACAAACTTTGGTACTTCATTTTTTGCAACTTGTTTATTACTTACAGGTATGCTCTCGGATTATTTTAATGAAAAGTAGTAGATATTTATAAGTTTATTATTAAATTAAATTGATTTTAAAACTTCTTAATTTATCTTATTTATCTTATATATTTGATATATAGGTGATACAAGTTCGTTGTCCAATTGGCCATATGAAAAGAATCCAACTCTTATGATATTGATGATAATGTTCGCATTTGTGATGGCTATTTATATTCTGAATGTATTTATCACACTATTTGATGAAGCTATGAAAGATAATGATGACTCATATTTGATAATGAAGGCAGAGGTAATAATGTTGTTTTAAATATCATTGTGAATATTATATTTTATATAGTTATAAGTGTAATGAAATTTTCTATTTCTTGTTTTTTTTTGTAGTATTTGGCTAAAATTGAGTTATTTTACCTATTACCACATCAGAGACGTTGGAAATCATGGTTTCCTGAAGTAATGTATGTCATCTTATTTGCTAAAATAAACCAATTCCTTTGATATTATTTTTATTAATATAAAATAATTTTAGGTATTATCATGCAAGTGTGGATAAAACTCGAAAAATGATTAAGGAAATGATTGAAAATGATAAATGGCATATCAATGAATTCCCAGAATTGAAGCAAAATTTATTAAACAAATTCAATATAAATAAGCCTAACAAATAACTCGTGAGAATCGATTCTAACGTTATAATTTGATCACAAGAATAATATATTTATTTTATTTAACCTTGACCGCCGGTTACTTTCACGTCGGCGAAATGGCTGTCTGTAAATATCGTAACCTCTTACTATTGCTTTGATCAGATCAACCTAGTTAACTATTACTTATTAGATAATGATAAATAACGGTATTATGGTTCATATTTTTTAAAAAATTTAATAGTTCCATTCAACACCTTTGAACACGAATTCAAAATAATAATAATTTTTATAATAAAAATTAATCATTTGTCTAAATTAAATTGTTATACTTTATCTCAGTCGTAACCACTAACCTTTTGTTCTCCTAAATCATCTATATATTCACCTAATTGGTTCAGTAAAAAAAAGTGATTATATAGAATTGTGACTATATAGGAGTTAATTTATTAATTGCCAATCCGGATAGATCGGCACTATCGCTATATAAACGTATTAATAAATCCTTTCGATTTTTTTTTGTATCAAAAACAACCATCGTTTGTAAAATCCCACGTGACAACGCATCTTCGTAGTAACCATCGCCATTTTTTCCACCCATACTACATAGCGTCGCCCGGAAACGGTTTTATTTGCAGATCACACACGACTTCGGATACTGTTTTCCGGTTGTTATTCATTTCTCTTTTATTATGCCACAATGTCGAACTAACATAATAAAGTTTCAAAAGGCGTCATGCTTTTCAAAATTAGGAAGAATCTCTAGATGAAAAGCCTTTAAATGCCGAAATAAACTTAAACAGCTCGCTCAAATTGTAAAAACAACTTGAGCAAGATAGGAGGATGATAATTATCTATACTGATATCACTGAAGCCGTATATAATTTAATGAGTTTTATGAAGGAGAAAATGAGTAGTTAAATATGAATCTTTGTATTGAACTTTCACCTTTTCTTGGAAAAATCAAAGAAATTATGAAATTAAATTGCTCATCACATAATTACATCTATCTCAGAGAGTAATGAATATTCATGAGTTTGTTTACTGGGACAAGAACCAAAAAAAAAGGTAATATGTAATTCATTTTAATATATTATATATATATAGTAGATTATAACTTAAATATTATGTTTGCATTACAGGCACAACGACAGAAATGGGAATTATCTATTAATTTCATCTTATGAAGGCATGTATTTGTTTGGATATCACAAAATAAGCTGATGTATATTATTGAAAGTGACGATGAGAGAGATATATATACGAAGCAGGTTTGATTTATTTACATGGAATCTTGATCAAAGTTTTTATAATTTTTGAGAATTTTGTATGTAGTTCTAATTGCATTTAAAGCTAAATAGTTGTTAGAAGAACCATAACAAACTAAAAGGATATTTATGGTTAAAAAATATTCGCCTAAATTCAAATCATTGGAAAAAGTGAATATTGACATTATGCACTAGAATAATAATTAAATTTTATAATTGAAATAAAAACATTGAAATCTTTTATATTAAAAAATTGGAACCATGATTGCAAATTATTTGTTATAAATCGATTAAAATTCTCTTTTATTATATGATTTTTATCGCGATTTGTCCGAAGTCACGTCTCCAAATCACGGGATCGGAAGTGAATTGGCTGAGTTTGTGCAACCGAATAATTTCGAAAGAAATAAATGCGCTATCTTTTTTCCCCAAACGTAAGAGGAATGTGAAAATGCTTGCTTAAATGTTTGTTGCAACACAGGACCTACCGTATATGTTAATATTGACGACAAAACCATATGCTATGAAGGGCTGAGGACTTTGCAATTCCGAGATCGTCAGGCGTAAAGCCACTTTGAGTCTTGCGAGGAAGATCGCTAAACTAAAAGGAATCAAGGTTCCGCCTTCGTGCACTTTCAAAGGTTTCTTGGCATCATATGATAGCGATAATCATCTTCCTTATCTTCAGTGTTTGGTCTTTTTATTTCTCCGTGTACTACAGTAACGAGATATAACTGATAGAAGTTCAGCCAACCTTCCCGCGTAAAATTAAGTTATGATATGAACATATTATTTTTATAGACATTCATTATGGGCCGTTATTAACTGTCTTGCCGTTTCTAATGATTTAATTGGGAAAATCACGTACAGGAAATGATTAAGCATTACTTATAAGCCTAAATGGAGGGCACAATGTTCAAAGCCGACCTTTGAAACCAAAAGATAAGCTTTTCGAATGTTTTCCCAAGGACATATCTGAAAAAGACATTCACGTTATAGTCTATCTAGATATTCAAATACCCGATAGTTAGGAATATTTTAGTCTTTTTATGTACTGTGGCTGTGTCTTCCAGCAACGATTTATTTTTTTTTACATGTATCATGGGCTACGCCCCGACCCTTGTATTAAAAAGTTTGATTGCCTTAGCCAAGTAACATTGAACATTTTTTGCTGTACATGAAACATTATTAACCATGCCAGTTTGTGAAAGTGGAACAGCAAGTCCATCCAAGCTTGAGGAAATAATTATCGTAGCTTATGCTGTTCACAATGCCGAGATTTTCGATCTTAAAAACGAGAACCAGAAGCTCAGTAAGGAACTTAGGAGTAGAAAAAGTCCAGTATTGCGAAAGTGGAACAGGATTCTTCGGTGGTGGATGTATTCCAGTATCCCGAGGATTCACTCCCATCACGTGATATAAACCTGTTAACATTGTTAACGATCAGAGTCATGTATCCGAAGAGGATGCACCAGCAGAAGAAAGAACGGATGAAGTGGTGTGTGCTGAGGAAGAGTACTTGACGTCTTTGGGAGTTCTCGATGAGGACGTCGATATTAAGATATTCTGGGGAGGAGGAAAGACAGACGGAATCATCTAATTCAGACTCAGACTCTGATTACGATGAATCTATGGAGCAGATCCACGACGAACTCACATACCCTTCGCTTTCCCCTTTCCCTTTCCCCTTCGTCCATTTGTTACGAAATTTCTGGAGCAATGCCCAAAGTGGTTTGGTCAAACCAACTGTCATTGTGCGATATATGCAGCTTTGACTATCACGCCTCCAGATTTCACGTATCCATAGGGCTTTGATTTTATACGGAGAGAAGAATAAATAGAATGTTCGATGGCGGACCATAATTCGAAGTTCTGCATGACTTCGCTCACTCGTTTAACAATCCCATTTTTATGGGAAGATCCATTTTCAATTCCTACTCAACATTATCATGCTCGGCTCGAAGGAATATCCAGACACATAGCGATTATCCTTCTTTCGAGTACTTTAATAAACCGCAACCGCAAAGAAATAGCGTGGTTAGAAGCGATTAAGGCAATAGGGCTTTGACTTTATACGGAGAGACGAATAAATGGAATATATGGCGGACCATAATTCGAAGTTCTGCATAACTTCGCTCAATCGTTTAACAATTCCATTTTTTATGGGAAGATCCATTTTCAATTCCTACTCAACATTATCATGCTCGGCTCGAAAGAATATCCAGATACATAGCGATTCGAATACTTTAATAAACCGCAACCGCAAAGAAGTAGCGAGGTTAGAAGCGATTAAGGCCATTAACGACGTTGAGGATATTAAGATATTCGATGACGACTTCTTTTCCGACGAACCTATTGACTCGAATCACCCGATCAACGCTAGAACAGAAAGGGTCCCAGAGGGACCAAGAATCTCGGTACAGGTAAAACCTGTACAAAAACCTGATTCAGATTTCTGAAGCATAGGTCAACGAGCAATCTTGCAAGGAATTCGAATTAGGATTTAGAGTAGGAGCATAGGTAGCTTTATTTAGCATACGGAACATCATGTATCCCGGGCAAGTCCCGCACTTGTGTTTATTTTTTATTACTGTATTAATAAAGCTCATCTTACATCAAAAAAAAAAAAGAAAAAAAAAAGATGCTCTTAGAAGAAGAGTCCACTACATAAAAGATTACTTTGTAAAGTGCTAAAATTTTATTTAACAATGTTAGAAGAAAAATTACTAAAACTTTCTTTGATAATAATATTTCAAATTACAGGTTACTCGTTCACAAACGAATTAAATTGAATCCGAAAGATTCGCAACATAACATATTTTAAAAAATTATGATAGAAGAACGTTGAAAAGCATAAAAAAAATCATTCGAAGACAACTAGATAATCTTCGAAGTGGACACTACTTGCGACTATTGATCCTGACAACTGCATTGCAAACGTCTGGCACGCCATTTTGATGTTTGGCCTTTTAAAGAATATAAAGGAATGACTTTAGAATCAGATTAATCTGTTATCTAAATCATACAAATAAATACTGTATCTCATACCAAGGTATGTTTGCTGAAACATTCCTTGTCCATGTTCCGATTGTTGCATCGTTTGGAAAATAAAAAGAAGGCCGTGATTTCCGTAATCTACTGATCCCATTGGCAGATTTGGTCTTGGTGCTGATATAGTAAGTTTATCCTCTCTTTTGTTGTAGATTGATCGTATATAGATAGCAGAGAGCATCCGGTGGGGTTACTACAGTGATCTTGGCCCCATTCACTCTCAACATTATTGGTTCTGGACGTCCATCGGGACTATTGCCTGTTGCGTTTGACCTATAACTCCATTACGCAAATTTGGATATGCGGGAACATCATTGAAACCAATCAAAAAGTAACATGGGCATTTCGTTATCAATATTGTCTAATAGAACGAAGGACTATTGAGGCCGTCTGTGAATTTTGTAATATAATAGGGAGAGCAGTAGGGCTAAATGTAAAAATACCAATTAATATTTACAATCGTTAAGAAAGATAATTTAATTTTTTATTACTTACCAAGGAACACTTTCTCGCTAGTTTATTAACTTTTCGTTCTTGAATTCTTTGACGGACAAAAATAAGAGGATTGGCCATATTGAACAGAGGAGAGATGTGGTATAAAATAAATCCTCAAAAATCGTTAAAATAATCATTAAATAGATATTGTGATTTATTATTATATTGAGTCAATAAAAAAAAGGAGTGATCAAAATAAAATAATCAATCAATTTTTACGAATATAATTAGAAAAGATCTGTAGTAATATAATAAGATACGTGAAATAACAATTATTTAGTGGCATTGTGATTTTGAAATTGTTAATAATTTGTTTTATAAAAAAAAAATTTACAGTCAGTTTTTCCACTTAAAAAATTAGTAAGCTTTTTAAAACATGTAAATGTTATTTTTATTGAATTTAGAACTTTATTTAACACAAAAGAAAACAATTATTTTGCGGATTTTCAATCATATAAAATTTTATTATGTTAAAAAAAGATGTTCTTTATTTAATATTAAAAGACTTTGATGTGAAAATGCGAAATAATTATTCTAATTAATGACAACGTTTAAATGGATTATAATTAATTCGATAAACAATTTATTCCCTGGAAGTGCCATATAAATTGTTACTCTCTTATTTCAAGGGAGGAAGTGAAAATTATTAATAGGAAATATAAGGCAGAAGGGATTATTAAAATTGTGATTATAATTCATTGTACACTTGTACTTTAAAGTTATAATTGGAGATCTATATATTATGATAAATGGGAGCAAACAATTTTAAATTTTTGATAAATCATAATTAATAACGACTCCTGCATATCTTAGTTTACATAACAATAAGTATATCATTGGCATCATCCGTGAATAATTTTTAAGAACCGTGGGATAAAAAAGAAATTAATATTATAAGTATATCAATCATGAATAATCTTAAATCGCAAATAATTGAGCAAGAAGACGATGCTGATGACGAGTCGGATAGTGACGATAATAGACCGGGGAAAAGAGTTTATCAGAGCGCCTCATTTCTTTTTTTTTTTCAAAAAAAAAAAAAAAAAAAATTCTTGAATAAAAAACATTATGAGGAAAAGAAAACATAAACAAAATGGCAAAATCAACTCTAAAAAATTTCATAACTTATTCCATGTTCAAATAACTTGTTAGACAACATAACCTCAGCCTTCTCTATGGAGTTGAATAACTTCTACAACCTGAACATTTTTACTTGCTGGGACTCTTCCAAACGAAATACACAAAATTCATACTTGCTATTGTTGGGGAATATCAATACTTTAGAGCATAATAATTATTTTTTCACACGAAAAGAAAAAAATTTTTAAACAATTATTAAATATATATTGTTTCGCAAAAATATAATTATACTTGCTAATTCAATGATATATTAAATAAAAAAAAATCGATAGGCCTATGAAAGCTTTCTTCGATCGTGCATTTACTATATCAAAGACATATCGGCTAATTGATAGCTTTTCACAAAAAACCGACAATTCACTTATTGAACTGGTGTTACAATAACTTTAAATTGTCCATATATTCAATTCAACATTTCCCAGATGCAGTTGACAAATAATATTAGAAATTTTTATATTACAATTTCCCGCCATTAAAATATATAAAGCTTCTTGCTATGTTGATAAGAATTAAAAGACCCTTTCTTTCTAAAATTTCCTTCAAGTTTAGAAGTAATGACGTACTCATTATTCTGTCTTTATGATGTACCTGACCAAACAAGAAATAATAAGTTTCTTTAATTAAACCTTTTAAAATTAATTTCTTTGGTACCGTAGTAGCTTTTTTTCCATGTTGCAAGTTTCTTTTAAATTGGAAACGTTACTAAACATTACTAACATTCCACTTACTTTTTTATTATAGGAACAGGACATTTCAGAACTAAAGAATGGTTTAGTGGTAATTTTTATTCTTAACCTTTGGTGTAATTTTCGTTCCTGATCTTTGGTGTAATTTTCATTCTTGATCTTTGGTATAACTTTAGTTTTGATCTTTGGTTTGGTGGTAATTTTATTCTTGATTTTTGGTAGATTTCTAATGTTACTTGCGTTTTTGATCTTTAAAGATAATTTTCATTCTTGATCTTTGGTAGTAATTTCGTTCTTAATTTTTTTTATTGTATAGTAGTACAGATCATTGGTTTTGCAAAATAAAAAATGAACGTATTACAAATCGTGTGTAACATAAAATTTCATCCAATAAAATTCAGTGGTAAAATTTTAATATTCATCCTGTGAGATCGCATCCGGGATATTATACGGGGGGCTCGATATAAATTTACTACGCTTTTTATGTACACGTAACAGTCGTAACATTTCGTTATACTATTTATATGACTTATGTATAAATTTTCATATGATTGGATGAAAATGGGCCACATAATAAAAGTGCTATCGTTCTGGCGCTTTTGATCTTTTTTTTATTCCACTTTATATGCTTTTCATAAATTTTTCCTATAAATTTACATTTACATTTTTATACCACTAGATGATTTAATATAGTTATATCAATTATATCGAACTGAAATGTTTACAATATAGCCATGCAGCCTATGCCTAATTTCTGCGTGATCTTATTTAGCTAAACGACAAATGAATAGATCATTTGTATTTTAAACTTATATCATCATCATTAATTGGTGTGTATCTTCATTTATTTCGATGCTCACTTGTATTCTTGAGATTTTTTTCGTCCTCGATATCTTTGAGAATGACTATAGTGATTATAGTGATTTGGGGACAATTTACATACATCCAAAAGTTCAACCTGAAAAACCTCGCGATATTTTATTTGTCCAATATGCGAGGCAACACCTTTTTAACTTGTCAGGCGTTCGTTCGGTATAATTCTTTTTAAAAAAACACAGGTGTCATTTACGCCACTATTTGCAATTTACCGCGTGATCTTCAATTTAAGCGTGAAACTTAGTTTCCGAATGAGGTGAGTTTGCATAAGATAAGTCATTATTTAGCGCCGCGCCGATTGTCACCGAATTAGAGCCGATAAAAATAAAACATTCTAAGGAATAATAAATGGCCTACAACGACATTTTGTCATAAATAAAAAATATGCATTTCTTATTAGACGATATCACCATTTTTTTCATAATAGTTGCTTAGATTATTAGATTATTCAACATTTCTGAAATCCTAGTGACGATTGAAAGAAAAAAAATTATTTTAAGGCGCGATGGCGAAAATTTTATAATGGAGTATAGTATAAACATTACGTATTTTCATACGTTTTTATGTGATTTTACGTGCCGTTTGCGAGACATGCAAATCACGTGACCAATTTATGTGTTCGTTATATCAGTATTTTATAATATTCGTGTGAATAAGCATATAAACTTTGCTGCATTGCATTTTTCTGTACGAAAATAGTAATATGATGATTATGAACGCCGAATTAGATGATCGACCAATTACTTTTTTGTTGTACAAAGAAATTGGCTTTCCCCTATAAGTGCATTATAATGAAATAGTATCATATTACTTGTGTTCAATTATTATAGTTACTTTTTTTCATCTCTTTTAAAAGTTAAATAAATAAATCAAGTTATAGAGTGACATTACGGTAGAATCAAACCAAAATAAAATTATAAAATCTAATTGGGAACTCGGAACAATCCTAGGTTAGGACATCCAAAGATAATTAACCTACTAAAGTTTTGAACATGGTTTGGGACATGGTCGAATTCAAACTACAATAGGAAGAATTAAATAAATATTTAATATTTGTTGAGGATTAGTACAACATAATAATTATTTTTTTTTATGATACGCCAGATTGATATATAGCATATGATGCTCATGATTTCCCGATTTGCTTTTTATAATAATAAAATTTGTGTTACTTTAACTTTAATAAAATCAATAAAATCGTAATATCGTAATCTTTAAGAGCATTTTTTTCAAATAAACATATATATATATTCATTATTAAATAAGTTAAATGGATGAAATTTCCGTAGTAATCGATGATATCGATAAAATTCACATTTATGGTGACAAAAAACCACATAACGGTAAATCTATTACGAGAATAGAAGTATCACCAAATGAAAAATGCCTTGTTACTTATAGCGAAGATGATGAATCAATTGTTTGTTGGAATGTTGAAAGTAGTAAAGGTGAGGGTCCACTTACACCAGACTTTACTTCCAATAAAGTGGATAATCATATAGAACAAATATGTGTCTCTGATAATATGGAGCTTGTTTATACTTACGAGTTTCTTAATAGAAAAGAAATAAGTAAGTACTTATAAGTTATGCAGATTTAAAAGGATTGTTATTTTTGATATTTATCTAATTACGTTAATTAATCATATTTTTATTAGAAATACGCGATATGAAAAATGAACAAGAAATTCAATTAGGTTGCGGACTTGGTGAACTTGGTGAACATGAATATTGTACCTTTAACCTGAATTCCGCCGATTTTATTTTACATGGAAGTGTCAATGATTATGATTTGCTTATGATTTATTCCACGCAAACCAAAAATAACAAATGGTGGTGTAAAAGAATGTACAATATACCAAAGGATTTTAAATTGATCAGCGTACCAAATTATGATAATAATATTTATTTGTTTTCAAATAACTTCATTTACGAATGGAATCTTCTTACCGAAAAACGTACAAGAATATTTGGTAATGACGAAACAAAATATGATTATAAGGTAATAAAATAAAAAAGTATTTTGCCATACTTATTTATAATAAATTCATAATTAATTATTATTTGTCTTTGAGTAGAAATTTAGAAAAGATATCAGAATTTCCATTGATAAGAAATTTATTTATATAAGAATCAAGGATAAAATTGTTATTTATTCAATTGAACTAGAAATTCCTATTGCTTCTTTGGATATAAATAATGGTATGATTATTATTTTATTATTTATTTGTTTTACTACTTAATTTTATGATACTAATAAATAATAATCTTTGTTTAGATATTCAATTGTACAATCTTATGAATCGTATTATTTTAAATTTACATTTGTTACTTCCATTATTAAGTACTAATAGTAAAATTTGGAACTTCGTCATGAAATATTGTTGGAAAGAATGTTTAGACCAGAATGAACAACTACAATTCGAAATTTCATGTGATAACATTCAAACTAAAACCAAATACGCATTTCAAATTCTAGATGGATATGTGTGGAAAGCTGAACTTAAAAAAAAAATAGCAAATATGAATTTTGTGAACGAATTATATGTTAAAATTATTGAAGATTTGAATTCCGACGAATTTAATGACAACAAGAGAGATGAGAAAATTATTGAATATTTGAGTTCTGATGAATTTGATGATGCTAAGAAAATCAATATGGAAGCATATAAAAAATATGAACACTTAAACATTCATTTATTTAGTCCATATATGAATACTATACGTAAATTATTTAAAGACAAGTCGAATGTTAAATATAATCTAAAATTAGAATCATTGGAACAAAATTCAATTAGATGGGAAATTAGGTCTTATAATGAAAGATCAATTTTATTGCAAGTTTTTAACGTAAATAAAAAATGGGAATTAATTGGATCACGAGTTGAAAATTTTAATATTCCTATGGATACTACTATCTACTTACTTGAAATTGAGTCACTTAATGATATTGATATCATTTTAACAACATCAATAGGTCTTTTTATTTATCATTTAAATAAAAATAACAAAAAAATTTCTTTAAACTATTTTTATTATATAGAGTTATACCAAGATCCATTTAGGAAAAATTATAAAATATTTTTGAACGAAACTTTACCTTCACCAAATTATATTAGTTTTAAAATAAGTAATGAATGGGTTTTATATGTAAAAGATAATAAGGAAAGTCTTTTGAAATATGGTGTTGAATTATTAAAATTCGCAATTAAAGAACAAAAATTAGAATTAATTGATAATATCTATAAAAAATGTATTGAATTTTTTAAAGATGATTTAAAAAATAATAGGATGTTTTTGAATATTATTACTTCTGCAATGCCATATTTGAGTGAATATTTTCCAGATTATATTTCAAGGTATTCATTAGCGACAACAATGATTATAGATTACCCTACTTATAATATAGAATATCAACATAACGATTCACATCTTTATTCTTTTCAATATCCTCAAATAGTTAATTTAACAAAATCTATTTTATGGTTTAAATACAACCTAATGATGGATGAATTAAGGAGAAATTATAAGATAATGTTCTGGATACTAATTATTTTTCAAATTTTATTAATTTTAACCTTTTTACCAATCTATTTTGCTATATTTTATATATTATCAAGACACCATTTCATTAATAATATTTACTTAAATGATGCATTTTCTATTTATTTTGAAGTTGTTGAAAAACTATCAAGACATAGTAAAACAATACCAATAATTACTTTTATGGTTCCTTATGTTAAGTTTGTGAATTATCCAAAAGATTATAATTGGTTTTTAGAATTAATTTCGCCTCAACCTAGTCCATTTGTTAACACAATAAGTAGTGATATATATAAAACATTAGATGGTGAAGCATTAATTAATTTTAAATGGAATACCTACGGAAAATATTATCATTCAATGATTTGGATTGGATTTATGGCTTTTCTTGTATGTTTTAATGCAGCTGCTGAAATTCCTCAACAATATATTGATGAAAGTGTTCAAAAGCAACTTTTAATTGCTTCAATTATACTTGGATTTATTCATTTGGGTATTGAAATTCGGCAGTTTATTTATTATCCTGCGAAGTGGATTAGTGATATTGGAAACATGCTTGGTATGTATTTTAATTAGTTAGTCAACATGTATATTTTTTTTAGTAAGGAAAAAGTACTAAAATATTACATATCATCATTATAGATATATGTGTATATGCATTTCCTATTTACACTTCAATTTTGTTACTTCAAACAAGTAATCATGATCAGTTAATACCATACGTTACTTTTTCATGCCTGTTTTTAAATTTAAAATTAATATCATTTTTTAGAATATTTGAAATTTACGATGAATATTATACAATCGTTATTAGAATTGCTAAACGGGTCATGTTTTTCTTTGCATGCTTTATAATGATTATTTTAACAAGTTTCGCATACGCATTTTATATTTTATTATCACCGAAAATGAACTATTCTTTGGGAGAACGTATAGTTAATGATGACCCTAATAATCCCTGGAATATGGCACCTACCTACCAAGTATTTGAAAATGCAACCAGCCTTTTTTCCAATTTATTTATTTTACAAAATCCTGATGAGAACACAAACATGTTTACAAACTTCGGTACTTCATTTTTTGCAACTTGTTTATTACTTACAGGTAAGTAGTAGTAGATGTTTATTATTAAATTAAATTGATTAACTTCTTAATTTATCTTATATATTTGATATATAGGTGATACAAGTTCGTTATCCAATTGGCCATATGAAAAAAATCCTACACTTATGATATTGATAATGTTGTTCGCATTTATAATGGCTATATATATTCTAAATGTATTTATCACTCTATTTGGTGAGGCGGTGAAAGATTATGATGACTCACATTTGATAATGAAGGCAGAGGTAATATTTGATATCATCACTTTTGATACAAATTAAATCTTTTTCGCCTTATAAATTGTTAAAAAATATTTAATTTCTTGCAGCATTTGGCTAAAATTGAGTTATTTTACCTATTACCGCATCAGAGACGTTGGGAATCATGGTTCCCTGAAGTAATGTATGTTCTTTCAGTTTATTTATTAGAAATGAAATTATTATTTTGGTGTTTTTTTTTCTCTTATTAATGTAATATTTACCTTTTAAGGCATTATTATTCCAGCGTGAATAAGACTCGAAAAAAAATCAAAGAAATGTTTGAAAATAAAGAATGGAGTACTAGTACCAGTGAATTCTCAGAATTGAAGGAGGATTTATTAAAAAAGCTCCATATGATTGACAAGTAGACTCGTGAAAATTATTAGATTATATATATATATCGTAATAGAGTATATGTTTTAATTATTTAGGAATACTTTCTTTTTTTATCTCATGATTTTTATTTTTAATATTATAACTTGATCATTGAAATTCTATAATATTATATTTGGTACCAGTTTGTAATAAATATATGAAAATAAATAAATTTAATTCACATATAAATACCTTTATACATTGTCTTTTATTTATGGTATCCTCTATTAAAAATAAAGATATTTTTAAAGCGTCCTCATCCTTATTAGAAGATGAAAAATTAGGTCAACGCTAAGTTACATCAGTAGCTGGATGTAATGATGCGAAGTCAGCGAAGATGATAAAAATAAGGAATTCATTATATTTGTTTTGAAAAATATTTGATCAACAAAGCTGGTTAAGTGGATATACAGTAGCTGATTAAAATTATACTAACCTTGCTTTAAGGACTCATTTAAAAAATATTATCGTAAAGAAGTCTTGTGATGTTTGATTCTTTGCAACGAAAAAATAATCAAAAATTGTAGCTGAAGTAGAGCGAACCTGATATTTTTCATATTACAGGAGGTAAATAATAATATTCTCGTTTTTATTTAAATACAATAATAATTCATGATATAATTCCTTTCAATCTTTTTTTACATATATAACATTTTGGTTGAAAAAATTTATCATAAACAACCATCGTTTGTAAAATCCCACGCGACAACGCGTTGCCCGGAGACGGATTTATTTGCAATTGATTTTTCCGGTTGTTACATTTATTTGTACGTCTCTCTTACTCCTTTTATTATACCACAACGTTGAACTAACATAATAAAGCTTCAAAAGGGCATCATGTTTTTCAAAACTATGAAGAATCTCTAAATGAGAAGCCTTAAAAAGTGTTAAAATTCCGAAATAAACTTACTAAAACAGCTCGCCCAAATTATAAAAACAACTTGAGCGGATAGGATGATAATTAGCTATACTGATATCACTGAAACCGTATATAATTTAATGAGTAGAAAATGAGAAGTTAAATATGAATCTTTGTATTGAACTTTCATGTTCTCTTGACTTTATTTTAGTAAAAGATGGATCGTCAAAGAAAATTATGAAATTAAATTGCTCACCACATAATTACATCTATCTCAGAAGGCAATGAATATTCATGGGTTCGTTTATTACTGGGACAGGAACCAAAAAAAAAAGGTAATATGTAATTCATTTTAATATAAAATATATATACTGTATAGTAGATTATAACTTAAATATTATGTTTGCATTACAGGTACAACGACGGAAATGGGAATTATCTATTAATTTCATCTTATGAAGGCAAATTAATGAATGTATTTTGCTTGGATAATTTTTAAAATCACAAAATAAGCATTTCATTAACTCAATATTAAATTATTGAGCATGAAGATGATTTATATCATTGAAAGTGACGAGGAGAAAGATATATACGAAGCAGATTTGATTTATTTACATGGAATCTTGGTCAAAGTCTTTATTATTTTTGAGAATTTTGTATGTAGTTCTAATTGCATTTAAAGCTAAATAGTTGTTAAAAGAATCATAACAAACTAAAAGGATATTTATGATTAAAATATATTCGCCCAAGTTCAAATCGTTGGAAAAAATGAATATTGATATTATATACTTGAAAAAAATAGAAGAACGATGTCAAAAAAGTGGCAAGACTTAATAATAATAATACAATGTATTGGGAATAATAATTAAACTTTATAATTGAAATACAAAACATTGAAATCTTTTATATTAAAATTGAAACCATAATTGCAAATTATTTGTTATAAATCGATTAAAATTCTCTTTTATTATATGATTTTTATCGAAATTGCGATTTGTCCGAAGTCACGTCTCCAAATCACGGGATCGAAAGTGAGTTGGCTGAGTTTGTGCAACCGAATAATTTCGAAAGAAATAAATGCGCTAACAAACGCTATCTAACAAACTAAGAGGAATGTGAAAATGCTTGCTTAAATGTTTTGTTGCAACACAGGACCTACCGTATATGTTAATATTGACGACAAAACCATATGCTATGAAGGGCTGAGGACTTTGCAATTCCGAGATCGTCAGGCGTAAAGCCACTTTGAGTCTTGCGAGGAAGATCGCTAAACTAAAAGGAATCAAGGTTCCGCCTTCGTGCACTTTCAAAGGTTTCTTGGATATGATAGCGATAGTCATCTTCCTTATCTTCAGTGTTCGGTCTTTTTATTTCTCCGTGGACTACAGTAACGAGATATAACTGATAGAAGTTCAGCCAACATTCCCGCGTAAAATTAAGGTATGATATGAACATATTATTTTTATAGACATTCATTATGGGCCGCTATTAACTGTCTTACCGTTCCTAATGATTTAATTGGGAAAATCACGTACAGGAAATGATTAAGCATTACTTATAAGCCTAAATGGAGGGCACAATGTTCAAAGCCGACCTTTGAACCCAAAAGATAAGCTTTTCGAATGTTTTCCCAAGGACATATCTGAAAAAGACATTCACGTTATAGTCTATCTAGATATTCAAATACCCGATAGTTAGGAATATTTTAGTCTTTTTATGTACTGTGGCTGTGTCTTCCAGCAACGATTTATTTTTTTTTACATGTATCATGGGCTACGCCCCGACCCTTGTATTAAAAAGTTTGATTGCCTTAGCCAAGTAACATTGAACATTTTTTGCTGTACATGAAACATTATTAACCATGCCAGTTTGTGAAAGTGGAACAGCAAGTCCATCCAAGCTTGAGGAAATAATTATCGAGCTTATGCTGTTCACAATGCCGAGATTTTCGATCTTAAAAACGAGAACCAGAAGCTCAGTAAGGAACTTAGGAGTAGAAAAAGTCAGTATTGCGAAAGTGGAACAGGATTCTTCGGTGGTGGATGTATTCCAGTATCCCGAGGATTCACTCCCATCACGTGATATAAAACCTGTTAACATTGTTAACGAGTTTTCCGAAAACTCGAAGTTGACACACAAGATAGAAGAAACGGACATAGTAACCTATTTCACAAAGTTTGTTGTAAGAACTTTTATCACATGGGGAGATCCGGAATCTATAAAGTTTTCCAGTATTCACATCTATAAGTCTCAAGAAGCTCGCCAATCTATTCTACCAAGCAAATAATGCAAAGAAGAGTACGATCAAATCAAAGCGAACAGAAATTTCATCTTGGTGTTGTTACTCTGAAAGATTCGAAGACAAGGTCATGGAGCTTAGGTCTGATAAAAAACTTACGGATCAGACCACATATAATGAAATGAAACCATTTCTTACAGGTGTTTCAGATGGGTATCTACATTACATGACCTGTAAGGCAAGAAAAATTAATAAACTATTTGGCTACGAATATGACCCCGTTTCACTGGAAAAAAACAATGGTATAGGGTGGCATATGATTCATCGAGTTACATGTAGTGCTGATACTATTTCAAGACTCATTAATCACCAAATCAAATACATAATAGATCAAGTCAATTCGAAAACCGTTAACATGTTAACGATCAGAGTCATGTATCCGAAGAGGATGCACCAGCAGAAGAAAGAACGGATGAAGTGGTGTGTGCTGAGGAAGAGTACTTGACGTCTTTGGGAGTTCTCGATGAGGACGTCGATATTAAGATATTCTGGGGAGGAGGAAAGTCAGACGGAGCCATCCAATTCAGACTCAGACTCTGATTACGATGAATCTATGGAGCAGATCCACGACGAACTCACATCCCCTTCGCTTTCCCCTTTCCCTTTCATTTTCACTTTTCCCTTTCCCCTTCGTCCATTTGTTACGAAATTTCTGGAGCAATGCCCAAAGTGGTTTGGTCAAACCAACTGTCATTGTGCGATATATGCAGCTTTGACTATCACGCCTCCAGATTCTACATATCCATAGGGCTTTGATTTTATACGGAGAGAAGAATAAATGGAATGTTCGATGGCGGACCATAATTCGAAGTTCTGCATGACTTCGCTCACTCGTTAACAATCCCATTTTTATGGGAAGATCCATTTTCAATTCCTACTCAACATTATCATGCTCGGCTCGAAGGAATATCCAGACACATAGCGATTATTCTTCTTTCGAGTACTTTAATAAACCGCAACCGCATAGAAGTAGCGAGGTTAAAAGCGATTAAGGCCATTAACGACGTTGAGGATATTAAGATATTCGATGACGACTTCTTTTCCGACGAACTTATTGACTCGAATCACCCGATCAACGCTAGAACAGAAAGGGTCCCAGAGGGACCAAGAATCTCGGTACAGGTATAACATGTACAAAAACCTGATTCAGATTTCTGAAGCATAGGTCAACGAGCAATCTTGCAGGGAAGTCGAATTAGGATTTAGAGTAGGAGCATAGGTAGCTTTATTTAGCATTCCTTCCTCAAATTAACAGAAGAAAAACTCGAACGTTATGGCATGGAAGGAGGGCCTGCAACAGTTCTTGTAGAATTCATTGAAGGCCTCTACGAAACTATTCCTCGCTTAAGACTCTCGACGACTTGAAAGAAATATTACGTAGAAATAAGGTCAATGGGGAGGATATAACGAGCATCAAGCAGTTTACTCCTGGTAGATAATTAATTAATTTTCGAAACTGACTAGATAGCTATATTAACTTTATTTTTCTCTGCATTCTTAGTGATGATGATAAGGCATTCGAACACTGTATGGAGGGCATTGTCTTAAAACTTTCGAACGTGGAGACCATGACCGATGCTAACGAGGCAACGCGCTGTGAATTTATTTCAGCTATATTACATGCGTCAATTGCTATCGCCAAAAAAGAAACGCGGATCAAGCGTTTAATGAGGATTACTTTGACTATCTTTATGGCATTGTGACTACGGGGACGGAGTGGCATTTTATAATATATACTCCGGATGGTATTTACTGTACAAGTGGGAGTGAGTACCAGATTAATCTTTCGAAATCCGCCATCAAGGATAACCCTGAATTACTCCGAAGCAATGTGAGAAGGATTATTGGTATAATTGTTGGGCTGTTAAAAGATCGTGTTAGTATAGATAGCTCCCCAGCTAGCAAGAGGGCTAGAATAAAAAAAATTATCAAAAAATAATGTATCCTGGGCTACGTCCCGAACATTTGTATTTATTTTTTGCATGTATCAATAAAAAATTTTTCTTGGCATTTTTCCGTGACGGCGAATATTAATAAATTTCTTGATTTTCTTGACAAAAAGTGCGTGAATTTTTTTCGTGGTCACATGATTTTTATTTTTCTTTTTTATTAATTTATTTTTAATATCTATGTTGTTATTTAGTACAATAAAATCGCAAAGCAAATCTTACAAATACAGGAACTCACTATATACAATATATACAATAATGTTCAGCAACAAGACAACGAAAGGTAAAAGATCACGTGATAATGAATAGGAGAATATGGACTTCGATTCAAAAAACCCTGAAGTTCACACCAATCAGAAAGGTTATAGTGAAACGCCCATATCACTTTTACTTTTCCTCTGCCAACCTTTTTTTCTTTGCCAACCTTTTTTCCCTATTTTTCTCCCTAATTTCCTCCACCAACTTTTCCTTTGCCAACTTTTCCTTTACCCTCTCTTCCTCTACGCTACGTACAAGTTCCACTCTAGTTACCAGCTTACCATCATTCATAATGACACACACCTTTTCTGGGTGGTAGAGGTAGTTCGCAATACCCTCCATTTTATTAATTCCCCAGATATCCATTTCTCTCGTCATTTCGCACCATGCAAATAAAATACCGCGATCATCTAAAAAAGAAACAACCATTCCAGAATGATCTACATACAGCGGGTGGATATTGGTGATACCATACTTTTCATTGAAGTGTTCCTTATTTTCTTGATCAATTAGCCATCCATCTGTATGTTCATAGAAATCATGAAACTTGCGGTCATTCTTTAATGTAGCAACCAATTCTGGATAGCTCTGCAATTGTTGCATGGTTCCTTTATTTCTCTGCTGAGTACTGATATTGTTCGAGTCTTTATTTGGAGATCTGGTCTCCACTAGCATAAAGAAGTCCAGGCATTCATCTCCGCGCAGTTCCCGAACTCCCAAGTCTCTCGTTTCGGGATAACATTTCCGTGCTGATCCCGGGGAAGAAGGTGTTGGTCGTTCTCTCTCCGGAGTGCACATAAATTTTGCCTGTCTCTCGGACTGCAAGCTGTAACTGACGCACCAAATGCAAAATTGATGATCCTTTCCTGGTTTGATTTCCAGGAAACGTTGATTGCTACTGGTCGACTGTCGCGTCTGCGTTCCATTACAGTCATCCATTGGCAAATTTGCTCTTGGTGCTGATAAAGAAATTTCACCTGTTTCTGACAATATTTTTTGCGATTTTTCTTTGTCTTTTTCTTTTGAGTTTTCTTTGATAGGCATAGATTGATCGTGTACAAATAACAGACAGCATTCGATGGAGTTGCTATAGTTATTGTGGTTCCGTTCACCCCCAATGTCATTGGCCTCGGACGTCCATTGGGATTGTTGAAAATACGGGGGTTTGTCTTGTACGGAAGAAGAATGTTGTTGTATACTCTCTGTCCCTTTTTGCTCCTTCCCGCCATTCTTTCGATGCACTCCCAGATCTAGGGTGAAAATTACTTAAGAATTTTTTTTTTTCCTGTTTCTCATAAACAGCTAAAAATTACCTCGTTTAGCGTCCATTCCGTTCTTAGTGGAGGAGTCCATTGGTTTGACATGAAGATTTAGGTTATCGTTATCCATTTTTGCCTCCATTTTTACGTTATTAATAAAAATTTAAAATTTAAAAATTTATATAATGAGTAATATGATTTATGAGTAAGAAAAAATAATAAATAAATTAATGAGTAAGAAAAAGTAGACTGAGGAGTGATTTATGTAATTACGTTCAAATTGATTTGTGCTACACTGTATCCCGTGAGTGGTCATACGATCGAGTGGGGTATCTTACCACACTACCCTGTCACAATATAAATAGTACTTTAAACGTGGTAGTACATGTGACATATAATGCAATGACAAATAGAGATCAGGCTAGTAAAAATAAACGTCCCATAATAAAAAACGTAAACATATCAGCACGTGACCATGTGACAAAATCATCACAGGGTAGTGTGGTAAGATTCCTCCGATCGAGTACGAATTTGACTAGCTTTTTTAATTAATAAAGTGATCTGAAAGAAGTGTTGAAGTCCGGGATGCGATATACATAAATCTCACAGGATGAATATTAAAATTTTACCACTGAATTTTATTGGATAAAAATTTATGTTACATACGATTTGTAATACGTTTATTTATTTGCAAAACCAATGATCTGTACTACTATACAATAAAAAAAATTAAGAACGAAATTACTACCAAACTAAGATTAATCCGCTAAAAATTGAGAACATTGAAAATTATTCAAAACAAAAAGACCAAGAACAAAATTATACCAAAGATCAAGAATGAAAATTATCTCTAAAGATCAAAAATGCAAGTTACAGTAGAAATCTACCAAAAATCAAGAATAAAATTACCACCAAACCAAAGATCAAAACTAAAGTTATAACAAAGATCAAGAATGAAAATTACCACAACATCAAGGATCAAAATGAAAGCAACACCAAAGATCAGGAACAAAAATTACACCAAAGGTTAAGAATAAAAATTCCCACTAAATCAAAAGCATAAGAACAAAAGTTTTCGATAAAGAATATAAAGAATGAAAGTCCCAAAGATTAAGAATAAAACCCAAAATCAAGAATGAAAATTTCCAAAAAGAATAATGGTTAATTTTATTTAAAGAAGCAAAAAAGCAATGAAAAATGAAATAAAAATTTTATTGAAATCCACGAAATGTACCTTTACATCCACCTGAAAAATTGTTTTACTTGACTTGTAACTGTGTTTCTGGAATTCTACAAAAAAATGAAGTGTTAGTAATGCTTACTAACGTTCCCAATTTAAAAAAAGTTTCCCTTCCCTACCTTCCAAGGTGTTTTCATGTTTTCTTTAGTTCTGAAGTGCCCTGTTCCTATAATAAAAAAGTAAGTGAAACGTTAGTAATGTTTCCAATTTAAAAGAAAAACAGGAAATAATAATTAAACCTTTTAAAATTAATTTCTTTGGTACCGTAGTAGCCTCTTTTCCATGTTGCAAGTGGCCTTGTTTTTAAAACCTTTTGTATGGTTATGGAAAATATATTAGAGTTAGTTAAAGAAAGAGAAAAATAAACCTAACGTAAGGCTTACTTTTACACTCGCCTGGATAGTTGTTTTGAAGGTTCTTGCTAAAAGAAATAGATCCCAGAATGTCAGTAGTTCCAGACCGTGGTCCTAACTTTAAATAGTTCATATTTCCAAATCGCGGTTCAAACTGTCTAACACTCTAACTTTTAATTTTAATAGGACCATAAAGTCCTATATACTAAAGACCGAGCAGAAAATACTCCATATACACCGATGCTCCCCTCCCTTCGGGGGCCCCCCCAAGGCATCGGTGAATATTTCAGTTATTCATTGATACCCATGGAATAACAAGTATATATCATGTGAGATATAATACTCAACTAATAGATAATGTACGATCAACTACAGTGCTTATGTACATAATATATAAGTACGAAAAAACAAAAAAAAATTTGTTTACAGTATCGTACAGCTTAAAATTGGATCACGTGATTTAAATATTTTTTCTAACTTAAAAAATTTATTATATTAAATATTCTGTTAAACTAAAAGCAAAAGTAACACATTTATACTTTCATACTTTATAGTGGTATTAAAAATCATGAGTTTATTTTATGTTTTATTAAAGAGACTAATAAATTCGAAATAAAAAATTTTATTTTAACGTGACTAGCAGTAAACAACACAAAGAAGGTAATCTAATAATTAAAAATAAAAAAGAATTACAATGGTGAAGATGCACTGATAAATAAAGGAACTAACAATAAAATAAAATGAAAAAATAATGAAAAAATAATGAAAGAAACGAAAGGAGATAAAGTGAAATAAGAAGAAACAAAAGAAAGAAAGGGAACAAATGGGGATAAATAAAGGAAAGGTAAAGGGATAGAAAAGAGACAAAGGAATAGAAAAGGAATGAAAAAAGGATAAAGAGAATAAATGGGAGTAAAAAAAAAAAATAAAGGAGATAAAGAAAGAAGGGACGAAAATAAAGAGAGTGAAGATTAAGGACAAAATCCATAAAAATAAGGAAAGATCAATGAAAGATCGAGCACGATCCCATAAAGATTAATGACAAAACCATAAAGTTTAAAGAAAAAAAAGGTAAAATTAAATGAAAATGGCAAAACCCACAAAGAATAGAATGAATAAAAGTTAGTAAGAAACGAAATATAAGAAACAAAAATAAAAAACAAAAAAGAAAAAAGTACTTTTAACTGCAACTTAAAAATCTAAGAGAATAAAAGTTGACGACTTATAAAAAAGGAAGAAAGGAAATTAGAGACGAAATATAAGAAACAAAACAAAAGAAAGAAAGAAAGAAAATTAGAAACAAAGCAAAACAAAAACAGAAAAAATTAAAGATCTAAAAGAAAGAAATAAAATGGTAGGATTAGTAATAATACGAAGGTAAAACAAAATTAAAGAAAAAAATATCACTTCACTTACCTATCTCCTTGTTTGGAAGAGCACATTACCCGAAGAAAAAAAATAAAGGTTAATAAAAAACGAAAGTTACACAAAAGATCAAAAAAATTAATTTTTTTTTAAAACTAACCTTTAGTTTACTTTTCTGAAATGTGGACGAAAGAGTCGAAAGACCTAAAGAAAAAAAGAATATTGCTAAAGAAGCAGACTCGTTTGAAAAAAAGATAATAGATAAACAAATAAATGCAGGAGTCACGTGGTAAAAAAAGTACGAACAGTCGAATACAACTAATCGTACAACTACAATTTGTACAGTACAGTTTATATGTATACTCGAAATTCTGGTTATTAATTTATGCATTTATTAATAATATGTACATTGCTCTTAGTTCTCTCAGACTCGTTGATATTATTTTACTCCGAAATAATTCTAGTAATAATTATATAAAATAAATCAGGATATGAATTTCTTGGCCAATAGAACTCTTTATATAAAAACTTAGTGGTATTATGTGGTATTATACACTATATATATATCTGAATTATAGCTAAATGTTTTATCGAAGTAAATATTTTAAGTGAACAAAAGAAATGATACAAGGGAAATCTATATACTAAATTGTCATTAAGTTACAGATAAAATGAAGAAGTTAACCAATTTTACGTACCTTGCCCCTCGCTAAATTTACTAATATTGGCCTACAATACTTATTACACAACATATTTCTATTGTGTGTTTAATATATTTTTGATTTGATCGCCGAATAAATACAATAAATCTTTTATAATTCAGCTAACCACAACAAAGTTTCTATGGATAAAGTGCAGTGCATGCATTATGAAGTCATTATTTATTGAGATTGCATTTTTCAGTAGTACTTCTTTTTTTCATCGTCAAACACTAATTGCGACGAAGCTAATTCGTTACTAGATATACAGTATAACAATTAAGGCTTGTAAACGTCACATAATTTATTAAAATTTCTGGAACTTAAGCATAAATGATTTGATAAATTGATCATAATTAAGTCCTCAATTTTTTACTTAAATGATAATTTTATACGTATAAATAATATGCTAATAGATTGTCATCATCCCTCGTCTGCAAAAAATAATTTTCAACTGCAAACGATCTGCAGAAAATGGGAATCTGGCGTGGCGCCAAATAAAAGTAAAAAATTATGTGAAAAAATTATTGTAAAAAACAAACTATTTGAAACTTTGGGATAAATATTATGTGGTGTTAATTGTTGAATGGGTTTACATAAAGAGCATTATTTAAGAAATGAAAATCGGATATCAGAAAAAAATTACTAATGATCGACATAAATTTGCACCGAAATCATATATGCAGTTGACTCACGGATCACGAATTAAAATATATCATCTCGCGATAAAAGAATCTCCATAAATAATAATTAAAAAAAAAAAAGAAAGTGAAATTCTCAGTGATAATGCACGGAAAAAAATGGTTTTATTTAGGTAATATGAAATAAAAAACAAAAAAAAAGCATCGCAGCAAAGTTTCTATACTCTTATTAATTTATTACAACATGAAACATATGCGACTTACTATTTTGTGAATTGTGATACGACGACGCATTATTACGCCAAAAAGCCACCTACGATTTATTGAATTATTCTTTTTAAATCAATCATTACTCGATAAACTTTTCACAATAATGAATTATTATCATCGTTATTTTAGTACAAATACAATAAACCCAAGTTCGTAGCACATAATTTTTATGCATGTTAAAAAAATCATCATAATAAGGATCAATTTCACAATGCGGGCCAATTTCTCTCCAAAAATAGATCATTACCCGATAAATTTTTTACAATAAATTGATTTTTCTAATTTCTGTGCACAAAAAAAATTGGACTTAACTATAAAAATCATTTTAAACGAAAATACTTTTATTTGTAACCATATCACGCATGACATCTTGCATTTAATGAACTGTATATGCATGCAATGCTGATTAAATATCATACACTATAATACTTACTTAGATATGCTTTACCAACGCCAAAACGTCATCTGCATTTATTAAATTTATCTTTTTAATTCGATAAATTTTTTACAATAAGAAAGTAGTTGTTTACGTATCACATTTTACACATACATATTTATATATATCAAATTTATATAAATATAACGTAAATTCAATCGTAAGCAGTATTCTTTTTTTTTTTAATTAAAAACTTTAATCGTTAAGAATTCTTTTTAAAAATAAATTTAGCCCGATTATCAAATGAATCAAATCATAGAAATCGATGATGATAAAATCGGTAAACCACATAACGGCAAACCTATTACGAAGATAGAAATATCACCAAATGAAAAATGCCTTGTTACTTACAGTGAAGAAGATAACTCAATTTTCTGTTGGAACGTTAATAATGTAAACGAGGGTTCAGATGGGAACGTTAATAATGTAAACGAGGGTCAACTTTACCCAATAAATACTTCCATCGAAATACCAGATAACATTACTATAAACCAAATATGTGTTTCAGATGATATGAAACTTGTGTATATTTACGAATTTACTGAAAAAAGTCAAATTAATAAAATAAGTAAGTACTACAGTCATCTTTATACGATTTAATGATTTTATATTTGGTATTATATTTATTATTTATCTATTTTTATTTAATTACATTTTATTAGAAATATATGATATGAAAAATAATCAAAAAATTGAGTTAGATTATGACCTTGATGAATATGAATATTGCACCTTTAGCTTAGAAGGTGAATTTATTTTATATAATAGAGACAGTGTACATAAAAAATTGCAAAAAGTTATTATTATTTATTCCACGAAAACTAGAAATAATAAATGGAGATGTAAAAGAATGTATAGATTACCAATAGAATTTGAATTGATTACGTCAAAAGATGATAACTTTTATTTATTTGCAAATAATTCGATTTATGAATGGAATATTCTAACCAAAAATAGTATAAAAATATTCGGCAGCGATGAGATGGAATATAAAGATATGGTAATAAAATATATTAAATTAATTTCTCAAACTTATTTGAATACTAATTATTATTGTTCTATTTTATATTTAAGTCGGAAATTAGAAAAGATTTCAAAATTTTCAGTAATGAAAAGTTTATTTGTACCAGAATCAAGAGTAAAATTATTATTTATTCAATTGAATTAGAAATTCCTATTGCTTCTTTGGATATAAATAATGGTATGATTATTTAATATTTTTATTGTTATACTATTAAATTTATGATATTAAAATAATTGTCTTTGTTTAGACATTCAAATATGTAATTATATGAATTATATGAAATATACTGGTTTAAATTTACCTTTATTACTTCTATTATTAAGTACTAATACTAGTAAAATTTGGAACTACGTCATGGAATATTGTTGGAAAGAACGTTTAGACCAGAATGAACAAGATAACATTCAAACTAAAACCAAATCATTTCGAATTCTAGATGGATATGTGTGGAAAGCTGAAGTTGAAGAAAAAATATCAAATATAAATTTGATGGACGAATTCCATGATAAAATTATTAAAAACAAAAAGGTAGATGATAAAATCGGTAAAGATTTGAATGAAGCATATGAAACGTATGAACACTTAAATATTCATTTATTTAGTCTATATACGAGTAATATACTTAAATTATCTCGAGTCATCGAGTCAAACTTTGAATATCAAAATAAATTAGAATCCTTAGAATCCTTGGAATATAATTCAATTAGATGGGAAATTAGTACTTGTAATGAAAGATCAATTATACTGCAAGTTTATAGCTTAAATAAGGATAATAAGGATAATGATGATTTAATTAGCTCACGAACTGAAAATTTTAATGCTCCTAAGGATATCTTCTTACTTGGAATTGAGTTACTTAATGATAATAATATCATTTTAATAACAACAATAGGCCTTTTTATTTATCATTTAAATGAAAGAAACAAATCAATTTCTTTAAACTATTTTTATTATACAGAGTTAGACAAAGATTCATTTAGGAAAAATTTAAAAATATTTTTGACAAAAAAAACTTTACCTTTACCAAATTATGATAGTTTTAAATTAAGTGAAGAATGGGTACAAAACGTAAAAAATAATAGGGAGAGTCTCTTGAAATATGGTGTTGGATTATTAGAATTTGCAATTAAAGAACAAAAGATAGAATTAGTTGATGATATCTATAAAAAATGTATAAGTTACTTTAAAAAAGATCTAAGGAACAATAGAATGTTTTTAAGTATTATTACTTCTACAATGCCATATTTTAATGAATATTTTCCTGATTATATTACAAAATATTCTTTAGAAACAGCAATGATCATAGACAATCCTATTTACAATATAGAATATCGGCAACACAAATCACAACTTCATTCTTTTCAATATCCTCAAATAGCTGATTTAACTAAATCTATTTTATGGTTAAGGTACAATACGTGGATGGGCAAATTAGCTGAAAATCATGGAAAATATTTCACCATTGCTAAACTTTTAATTAAACTTTTAATAATTTTACCCATTTTTCCAATTTATTTTTTTACATTTTATATATTATCAAAATTCCATTTTATTAATGATGCTTATGAAAATGGTACATATTCTATTTATTATGACCTTGTTAGCTTTTTTGATAAGAAATTATCAAAAAATAGAACAACACCGATAATTACTTTTATGATTCCTTATATTAAGTTTATGAATTATCCACGAGATTATGGTTGGTTTCGGGAATTAATTTTACCTCAACATAGTCCTTTTGTTGACTCAATAAGGAGTGATATCTTTAAAACATTGGATGGTGAAGCATTAATTAATTTTAAATGGAATACTTATGGAAAATATTATCATTCAATAATTTGGATTGGATATGCAGCATTACTCGTATGTTTTGATACGGCTGCTGGAATTCCAGATCGATATATTGGTGCAGATATTCGAAATAAACTTTTAATTGCTTCGTCTATACTTGGATTCCTTCACCTTATTTTTGAATTTCGTCAATTTATTTATGATCCTGCAAAGTGGATAAGAAGTTATGGAAACATTATTGGTATACAATTTTTAATCATTTTAGAATATTTTAATAACAAAAAAGTGCTAATATATTATTTATTATTATAGATACATGTATATACTTTCTTCCTACTTTCACTTCAATTTTATGGCTTCGAACAAGTGATTATCATCAGATAATTCCATATTCAACTTTTTCGTGCCTGCTATTAAATTTAAAGTTAATATCATTTTTTAGAATATTTGAGATTTATGATGAATATTACACAATCGTCATTAGAATTGCTAAACGGGCCATATTTTTCTTTGCATGCTTTATAATGGTTATTTTGGCAAGTTTCGCATTTGCATTTTATATTTTATTATCACCGAAAGAGGATTATTCTTTAGATACACGTACATTTAATGATGACCCTAATAATCCTTGGAACTTGACAGCTACTTATCAAGTATTTGTAAATGAAACCAGCACTAGTCCTAATCTATTTATTTTACAACAACCTGATGAGAACACAAATATGTTTACAAACTATGCTAACTCACTTTTTGCAACGTGTCTATTACTCACAGGTATGCTTAATTTTAATTAAAAGCATTATTTAATTATTTAGTTAACTTTTTTTAAACTTTTTATCTATAGGTGATACAAGCTCGTTATCCAATTGGCCTTATGAAGAAAATCCAACACTCATGATATTAATGATTTTGTTCGCATTTGCAATGGCTATATATATTCTGAATGTATTTATTACCCTATTTGGTGAGGCTATGCAAGATAATGAAGAATCATATTTGATAATGAAGGCAGAGGTAATATCAGTTTTTAAATATTATTAGATGTTATATTTTATAGTGTAGATGTAACGAAATTTACGATTTCTTGTTTTTTTGTAGTATTTGGTTAAAATTGAGTTATTTTACTTATTACCATTTCAGAGACGTTGGAAATCATGGTTTCCTGAAGTAATGTATGTATATAAATAATCCATTCATTTGATAATTTTTTTTATTAATAGTTTATACGAATTTATATTTTAGACATTATCATGCCGGTATAAAAAAGACTCGAAAAGAAATTAAAAAAATGATTGAACATAAAGAATGGAAAACCAAGGAATTCCCAAATCTGAAACGAAGGTTAACGGAAGAACTCGAAATTGAAGATGATACGCTAAAAGGAATATATATAGATAAAGCTACAACATAATATACTATAATAGTATAATATTACGACACACAATTTCATATTTTTATTGTAAGATAGTTAAATTTTATTCAAAAAATAAAATATATTTATTTAATATATATGCAATATTAAGAAACTAATAAAATTTTGGTGCATAGTTATAAATTAATGATATTACATAAAAGATTATTGTATTTTGTATATTCCTTTTTTTTTTTATCATCAATTAAAACATTTTAAAATATGGAGAAAATTTATAAAATTTTATAGGCGCAAGCGCTTATTCAAATTTAAAAGGATATGCGCAAAAAAAATTTTTATCTGCTCTTTAAATATAAAAGCAAAATTATAATAAGCGCGCAAAAAAATTTTATTTATTACCAAAATATAAAAATTTACATGTCCTACCCGCTAAAAATGTTTATTTACAATTCATTAATAAAAATTAATTTCACTCTTGACTCTTGAGAATTTACTACATTTTGCATCCGCCTTGCTTTTAAATTAATCCAATTATCGTATGCTTTTTCAAAGTCAAAATCTTCTAGTATATCAGGACCGGAAGGACCAGACCATTGATTAAAATCATTAAATATTTGATGCGAAAAAATTTCTCTCCACTGTTGCATTTGATATAGGATGATATTGGAAAGTTTTTGTAAAAACATGCACGTATAGAGTAAATTTTGCGCATATAGGGAATTTTTGCGCTATATACGGTGTGCGCAGAGCGCTAACCATCTTTCAATCATAATGTACGCTGCGCCTATTTCGCCGATCCAATTTACATCACTTGACTTGTATCACTATCAGCAAATGATAAAATACGATTAATTCGTTTTTCGTTTTGCTTTGAAAATGCCTATACCTGAAGTATTTTGAGGTCTAGAGCGGCGGATATATATAGTTATGGAATTATTATGTGGGAAATCCTTATTCACCTTGCTTTTAAAAATTCTTGATGGACTTCGACCAACTATTCCTGATGGTACACCTGATAATTATTGCAATCTAATGCAAGAATTTTGGCACAAATTCCAACAAAGCGTCCTGTATATATCGAACATGAAGTATTAAATTTGAGAAATTCATTAAATCGGGATTTTAACATTTGAAGGGGACCTATTAGTAATAAAGATAAGGAGTTAAGTTCTAATACTTTATCAAATCATGCAAGTATGGCTAACTAAAGACTAATAAATATCAAAATTTGGCCTTTATACTTCTTTTTTTAAGACCAGCGGAGGTGAAATTGGCAAAAGACCGAAAAAAGCAACAAATACTGGTTTTGGTAAAATAAAAACCTGCATAAGTCTGAATTGGGTGATTATATTAAGACCAAAATTTACCACTTTTCGGTCTTTAACCAGGTTGTTGTGCCACAATAAATTGGGCGCACAGCCTTATTACTTTTCCGAAAATTTTCTAAAGACCATCAGGGCAGATCGAAGACCGCAGGACCGACTACCTGGAAAAGGATGGGATCTTTTCAAAAAAGAGCGCATAGTAAATATGGTACAGTATGTTATTTATTATAATTTGGTTTTAGTTAATTATTATTTAATCATATTTTTTTTTATTAGGCCACACAAATTCGAATTTTCGGTTCACTTCACCCGGCCGGGTCACTTTTTCAAATTTCAGTTTATATATAAAAATTTATCACGTGATCGGGACGTAATTTTATTGGCGGTAAGTTTATCACGCGGCTGAGAACTTCTAGAGCGAAATCCCTTTTAAAAGTCAACCAATCAAATGTCACGATTTTATATATAAACTTTTTTTACTAATAAACAATAAACCCCGGGTCCCGGGTCGATTTTAAATTTCAATGTTACGTGAACCGAAAAATTGAATTTGTGTGGCCTTAATTTAGATCAAGAAATGCAAGAAATCCAATATAAATATGTTAGTCGTGAATATATTGATTTTTTGATAAAAGATGTGTATGAATTTAATTGACTGAAAATTCGTGATTGGATCGAGCCAACCTATGGTGTTTGATTGATCATTGACTCAACCGCTTTAATATCTTATATTATCGATAGGGTACAAGGAATCTTGTTTTTTTTAATTTAAAAATGACAATTGTGTATATAGAAAGTGAATAACGTAGATTGACTAAGTGTAGTTTACAATTAAAAATAAACTTGTGATACTAATAAGTGCAACTGAATTCTAATATATAATTTATTAAATTGTTGTTACGTTTGTAGCAATTTTAACAGTGTTCCGAGGGAACCAATCACCAACTAAGGTTATTACCTTCAATGATAAAGCCCACGATGCTTTATTTCTAATTTACCAACTGTAGTTGCCAAAAGCAAGTATGTATCATCTGATTCTGTATCAATATCTAATGTTGTTCTGTTGCCGCATGAATGAAATTTTTTATCGCCAGCTACATATTCGCCATTAATATCAGTAACCTACTAAATCATAAACTCTCCGCCGGACATAACCTTTAACTTTAGCATGATATCCTAGTAATCAATTAAGTTTTTAGTATAAAATAATATATTATTTCGCTTAAAATTCATATTCTGTATATGCGAACATGTTCAAGATTTCGAGATTTTACCTTAGTGGCTGGTACAAGAGCCGGGTGATTTTTACAAATTTGTAATTTAATATTAGTTATCAGAAACAATAATAATTAAATCATAATTTTAAATTAAGATGTCATATATATATATATATATATATATTATTGGATGGTAGTGGCCATTTTCAGGGCTCTGTGATCGATATAGCCCACATCATTTTCTTACTCTACTTTATTATACCGATGATGTATAATCATAAAAATATCGGTCTATGAAAATCTGCTTGCCTGTTGTCTGCATATGAATAAATAAAACAAAAAGGAGATAATTTATAATTTATCGCATATCGCATAGTTAGGGTGTCCAGGATGGGTTTCCAAAAATCGCGCGTGATTTTCACGTAAAATTCGGGATTGGCTAAATTAACGTAATTTCGGCCTAATTTCTAAAGCACATTTTAGCCGGAATATTTGGCCAGAATTTCAGCAAAATCATAATCACATGGTTATCCAGCCATCCAATCAAATTTAAATATCGTGAAATTTATCAAAAATCGCGACCGGGATCAACCGCATATCAGAGACCCGGGAAAATTCCATTTTTATAATAAATGAATAAATCGGAATTTTTGCTGTATTATGGAATAAAACGAAATTTTATGATTTTTTTTTAACAATTTTATTCCGATACGTGACAACTAGCCAATCATTATTGCATATTTTATTGACCGCTGACTATATCGTGATAGAATTTGTAAAAAATTAAAAATTATTGTCGTGTCACTAGCGCAACTGGCCTGCATTAAGATGTAATTATCAAATGTTTCTTACTATAATTGGTAATTTTTATCGGAATAAAATCGGAATTTTTTCCGTTATCATGATAAAAATTTGCAATTTAATATCGGAATAAATCCGAGTCTCTGCCGCATAGTGAATTGGTCACGTGTAATTGATTTTATTGAGTATTTCACGTGTTTGTTGAAAATTAATATCTATTAACGATATACTTCCAATTTACTCAGGACTTACAATGGTTCACCATTTCCTAATTTTATGATAACGAATAATAAAGATAAAATTTTACGTTCAGTTAATTATCACACGCTAAGATTGGACTTACAGTTTATTACTAATTTCATCCTACAATAACTTGGTCGATTATTGATCGAATCAATTAAATGAATCTTTTATAATTAAAATGATTTTATTTAACCATTACGATACTATATAATAATAATGTAATGCAATATGATGACATTATTTATCGAGATTCCTTTCAAATGTTTCCTTTTTGATCATCAAATTGAACTTCATAAAACATAAATTACGACCAACATTTATTATGATGCACTCCTGTTTCATTCAGTTACATGACATATAGAAGTGACAACTTAAGTATCAACAATTAAAACTTGAAAACAATAAAACAAGATTTTATTAAGATTTATTGATTTTGAAACATAAATTTTAAACATAAATGATTTGATAAAAATTATTCATATATAATTTAGACTTAAATTCTCTTCTCTTAAATAAACAAAATAATCTTAGAATTGTACTTATTATATATATAAATATATAACAACTATAAAGTGTGTCATAATTCTACGTTTACACGATTGCGAAAAAAATTTATGGGCTAATATAGAATCCTGCGATAAAATATTATAAAATCTCTAAAGAAAATATACGATGATAAGTAATTATTGTAAAAAAAAAAGAAAGAAAAACGTTCAATTAGGATCCACGATTCGTTCAGTTAAATGATGATCCGTTAAATAATTGATTTGCTAATGGATCAGTTGTTTGTTGAGGGGGTAGACTTTCGATTAATCTCAACATATCATCATTATTAATCGGTGTAGGTGTATTTCTTCGATTAATTAGTCTTCTTATCATTCGTATTTGCCTAGAGCGGCGGTATGAGGGCATTTTTAGTTTATAACTTTGTAAACTTTGTAAAATGTGAAAAATATGAAATTAATTGATTTTTTTTTTTTTTAAAGAAAATATTTATGGAATGATAAGTTGATAAGTTGCTTATAAATATTATTTTCTTTATTATATGCTTCTAAAAAAAAAAAAAATATCGTCTTTTCCCGCCGCTTAGACAATATCACCTTTTTTGCATTTATTTCATTATTAGATTGGTTCCGAAACACTGGTATCGGGTGAAACTTGAAAGGACATTTTTTTACACAAAAAAAAAAAAAAATGATTCGTACATTCGTATAAAATAATTTTATACGAATGGAAATTGAAGGATCAGAATTGAGATACTATCGGGGAAAAACTTAAAGTGATAATAGAATAAATAAGTAAATCAATCTTTATATTTTATATATTTTAATATATTTTATTTTATAATTTAACGATAGATATGGTCCCATTATTAAAAAAAAAGCATTGTTATAATTACCAAAGCTACTATCACTTTTTGATCTAATCATTTTTTTTTTTGCGCTAAAGAAAG